TACCGAAATACCAGTGGGTAGCCCATAACTAGTTCTGAGCATTTTTATGCACCAAGACATTTTGCTGTAATCCCTTTCTGGTTCTCTTGAAGAGTTGGACATGTGTGTGGTGAGGGAGGACACCAGGGATCACTTATTGTTCAGAAAGCATAGCATTAACTCTCCAAGTACTACAGTAGTGGTTGTGCATTGAACTTTTTAGTGAAGAAATCTTAATACCTGCTCATTGAAATAAGTGTGCTGGTTTAGTGGTGAAATAGCTCTGCTTTTCACAGGTCCTTGTTTTAACAGCCCAAGATAAGCTGCCTTGCCAAAGCTGGGGATTTGGGGGCAGCTAATGTTGCTTACCACATGGAACAATTTTAATTAATTACAATGAAATTTCCTGGCTGAAACATGTTAGAATCTCTTATGGAGGAAAGAATATCCTCCATAAGACACAACTACTGTTGTCTTACCTATCAAACTTTGAATAAAACTTTAATGGGACATAAAACAAGAAGTGGGAAATGATAAGAGAATAATTTTGATAGTTTTTATTATTGGGGGAAGGGCGTACTTTTAATAAGGAATTTTTTTTAATAGTGGTACCTAATTGAACAAGAAGCCTACAGATTAAGCCTTGCATCATCCCTGGTTTTTGCTGGAATGCTCATTGGAAATATCACATTTGGCTTTGTCAGATAAACTGGACGGGAAACCAGTGTATATCTCAGGTAAGATTATTAAAAGGTTTTTCTTAAGTATTCTACATGGAAAACATCTCTTTGCTGCCTGCCCCTGGGCCACCCTACTCAAACACTGCTCTGTCAATGTCCTGTATGAGCACTTCACTGGCAGTGGAGCAGCACTGAAACTGGTTGGTGTCAGTGTGCTGAGGGAGTATTAGTGGGAGGTGAAAAAAACTGGTTTTGTCCTGGTTGTCTCTACTGGAGCACAGTATTCCACACATTACCTAACTATATAGTCCAAATAAAAAATATTTTCCTTTTTGTTCAGGGGGTAGGGGAGGCCACTTCACCTAAGCATCTTCAGAATGGTTTACTCCTGTCCTGGTGTTTTGTATTCCAGCTGCATTTGCAAACAAAGGGTCTTGTTAAATGAGAACACTGTCTCAAGGAAATGCCAGGAGTCTTCTTCCTCTTCCTCCTCCTTTCTTTCTAAGTGGTTCACAGGCATTATAATGATAAGAAAAAAGATGCAGTAATTAAGTTACTTTTTCTTGTCATAGTTTGAGTGAGTGGCAAAAATGAGGATGACATTTTTCTTTATGGGTTTGTGAACCAAACAAAATTAAGATTATATTGTGCAGGAAGAAGGGGTGTTAAATGAAGCAGAAAATCAGGGTTACCCAAAAGACAAGCTTGTGTTTCTGAGTGCTGTTACAGCTGTGGTGGCCAGCTGTGTGCCAGCTGCCCCAGAAAACTCAATTACAAATCTGCTTGGGGAAGGGAAGGAAAGCCTCCCAGAGGCTGTGAGCTGGAGCATCTGCCAGTAGCACTGCCTCTTGCCAAGGCAGGGCTTCAGCACTCCAGAACTTCTGGAAGTTATCCTAGAGGGATTTTAGAGTTTCTTTCCATGAGATGCATGCAACGGGAAATAAGTGGGAGCACTTGGAATTACCATTTTAGCATGTTCTGCTGTGTATCTGCTTGCTTTTGAGGTTCCTTGTGCCTATTCCTAGTGTTGGGTGCTCCTGTTTTCAATTCCTGCACTGGCACTATCATAATAATGATTTTAAACTCCTTCAGTATGTAAGCAATTAAGTGCTAGCTTTGTCTGGCCTGTGTTCTTAGAAAGAAGTTCTGTTAAAGACTACACTAAAAAACCCACCTCTTTTCCTGTAGTCAGAGAATACAAAGCCTGAGGGCATCATCAAGTTGTGCATTATCTATTTTCCTCTATGGTGTTCTGTTTCTGATGAAGTAGCATTACTTCCCCAAATACTAAAAACACTGAGATCCTTCAAAGTAATGAAAGTTAAGTTAGGTTGTAGGATGTATATCTCTGTTAAGAGTGCCAGAGAAAATAAATGTTCAGTTCAAAATATTCCATTCCTTATTTTATGACTCATATAAAAGCTGCAGCAGGGGGAAGTAGTTGACAAATATTCACCTCTGGGGAATGGAAGTGTGATAAAACAGGCAGTGAATGAAGCCCCACAAGCACTGTGCTTGTGAGTTCCAGGCTGCAGGAGGAGCGTGGCTGCCACACACTTGCCCAGCCCATGTGAGCAGGCAGAAGGAGCAAGTTCAACAAGAGCTGCTTGTGCTGCTCCCTATTCCTCTTCCAGCGCTCTGTGGAAACAATTGCACTCACCTCCACGGTTCAAGATGCAGAGAACACGATGGTGGATTCAGCACAGAAGGGAAACAGGGAGTTTATGTGATTTACATGTGGCAAGGGGAAGGTGCAGCCCAGCTTGGCTTTTACTTGTACAGTTTGACAGGGCAGCTGCTCTGCATTTGCAGCCCAACCATGAGAGTTAAAAATCAGCCACCATTATATGCTAGAAGGAAAGTGAGTATTCCAAATATGCTGTGCACAATTTAAGTGGTGCTGAAAGAAATAGCTGCCTTAGGAATGTCTTCTGTCCTGACACTTTTTTCTTTGTGAGATACATCTGCTTGGACTGTGGACTATGTCGAAGCTGTGTGAAAGTGATTGCACTGGAAATCAGGTTTTACAGGGTGGAGGGAAGGTCAGCAAATGCATTCTTTCCTGGCACACCACTCTGTCTGAGCTGCAGATGGAATTGCTGCACTCTAATGATGGACTCTGCCACCACGAGAATGTGAAGATGCTGTATGTATTTTTGAGCAGAATGGATCACTAGTGTGATTTGTCTGGTGTACAGACTGCAAAGGGGCTGTGAAGGCCAGAAATGGCTTTTTGCTCTGGAACTTTTTCTTTGGGAATAGTTGCTGGACTTTAGCTGCTGCGAGAGTTAGAGTGCCAGAGGGAAAGCACCTCTCTCCGGGTTGTTTGCTGGAGTTCAGTGAGTTTGTGTTACCTGTTGAGCATAGAAAGGGTTCTAAAAGGAAGACACCATGCTGGAATTGCCTTTTCTTCTGCAGCCTGTAAAGTGCAAAGCCACAATGAAACAATTCCTCTCCCTTTCCCACAGATCACATTCTGTCTCCAGGGTTCTCCCCTGAACTGCTCCCACTGGAGCGGGGCTGGGCCAGAAAAGCACTTGGCTTGTCTGGGCACTGTCAGACCACCATCAGAACCACCCATCAGCTGCACTAGGAAGCGTCCTAGCAGGATTCCTCATCACTTCATTTATCATCCCTACAGAAACCCCTCCAACAACCCCTGGTTGTGACAGCCCCAGGCATTGCTTTAGCCAAGGAAATCTCAAAAATAGCCCAAACACTCATCCTCACGAAACAAACCCCTCTCTTGTCCACATCCTAGGGTACTTTAACCCCTTAATCCACCGCCTAAGCACAACTACCTTCCTCAACGGAGGACAAAAGCACGGTGGCGCTGCCGAGTCGCAAAGGAAGGACACAGACCGAGCCCTGCTCCACACCATCCGCGGGCACAGCCAAGCTGGAAACGGCCCTGCTCTCACAGCAGCTGGGTCAGGACAAAAAGATTTCACCAATCCACCCCTTCCAAAAGCACACCCTTCTTCGCACCACACTCAAAGAGCAGCACAAACTCCTCTGCCCTAACAAAGCTTTTTGCTCTCTCAGAGTCTGGTCACAGCCTTGAAAACGTCTGGCCAAGCCAGAGCTCACTGAGAAAGCTCTTAATGCCTACAACTTCAGTTGCACCCATTGATTTACCAGGTCACACCCTGCTATCAGCACTTTCCTTCTCAGCTCTAGGTACCATCCTAAGCCTTCAGGATCCAAACAGAATGGCACCAGGGACTGCTCACACACTGAAGGTCTCAGGACAAAAAGGTCAGCAGAAGCATCTGGGTCTGATGGCACACTTCTCATCCAGCAGGGGCCAGGGCTTGGCCAGATAAAATATCCTACAAGCAGGCCTATTCATGTCAGTTGTGCAGATTTTCTTAAAATGATACATTTCTTGCAGATAACTACACAAGGTTAGGTGAAAGTTTCTAAAGCAGCTGGTTTGGTGTGAAACAGCTGGCAGAAGTGTCTCAACCATCTATTTTTAGGTAAATAATACTGATGGTGTCAGTCACATAATGCCCAGGTTGTAAGTCAGCTCTGGCTGAGGTCTGAGCATCAGCACATCTGAGTCACTTGGTTGTTCAGTCTGGAAAACAGGAGATTGAAGAGGAGACCTCCCTGAGGTCACCAATATCCTCTTGAGGGGCAGGTACTGATCTCCTCACTCTCATGACCAGTAACAGGGCCTGAGGGACTGGCTGGAGCTGTGTCAGGCAGGATTAGGTCAGGGATCAGGAGAAGGTTCTTACCCAAAGGCTGCTCAGGCACTGAACAGGCCCCCAGGGCTGTGTCACAGTACCAAGCCTGTCAGTATTAAAGAAGTGTTTGGACAAGTCAGGCACAGGGGGGATTCCTGGGGTGTCTCTACAGGGCCAGGAGTTGGACTTGATGATGCTGATGGGTCCTTCAACTCAGGATATTCTGATTCTATGAGCACTGAATGATTATCTCCAACTGGTTTGCACTGGCACTCAGAGCTTGTCTCTAATTGCTTCCAATTTATTTCTGCAGTCACTCCCAGGGCATTGACAGACTGATCAAACAAAGGTTTGAGGAAAATGTCCCTTTTTAGGGGACAGTGTCCAGGGTCAGGCTGCATGGGGCCCTGAGCAACCTGATTTAGTGAGTGGCATCCCTTCCTATGGGAGGGATGTGGGAACCATCTGATCTTGAAGGACCCTTCCAACCCACCCCCTTCTGGAGTTCCATGATTACTCTGTGGGTCACTCAGAACAGCTGAACTCCACCAAATACTGAAAAAGTTGGCCTGCATTTTAAAAACAGATTCCTCAAAATACCTATGAGACTTTAAAATGGAGAAACCTCAGGAAAGAAATCAACCACTTCTTCAAAATACCTGTATTTATTACAACAAAACTCAAAGTCCAAGCAGCTCACATATTTCTTTTCCTTCTAGGTCGTCCCAAATGTGACAACAACAAGACAAAAATGTGTGTATGTATCCAAACAAAACCACAAAATCAAATACAAATCAAAATCAATAAAGGTACGTTCGTACAAAACTGACATGGTACTTAAATGCAACAGAAGTGGCCTACACAGATTTCCAGGTACAAAAAGACAGATGCAAAAATAAAAGCTAGCATTTTATGTTTCTTGTGCCTGATGAAATGTAGAACATCTCACTAGCAGTAACATGGAGGGAATACAACACAGCAGTGTTAACTCAGATTGCAGCTCTTATTTACAGAATTTAGATGGTAACATTGCAGAATATCCTTTCTTTCATAAACAAAAAGTAATTTTTATTTTTCATTAAAAATACCTTATAAAAGCTGGATATTATCAACCGTTACTGGAGAGCACTGCTGCTGTCAGTGGCTATCAGAATTCACAGCTTGATTAGTTAATTGCTATTCTACAGTTCAGGCTACACCTGCAGTGATTGTTTCAGTCAGTTCTGGGAGGCAGTGCCTCCTCTCTTACCTGATCACCTTCCCCAAGGCCCTTCATGGGCTTCCCACATCCAGTGCTAATGCTGACTGCAGCATTAACACAGCAGGACAGAAATAAGACAACCAAAGGGGATTTTCTATTCTTCAGATTTTTTTAATTTTGCCTTTTTTCCACTTGAGGAAGCTTTGGCTTTGGCTGTTTTAGTTTGCTTTGCAGTTTCAGCAGGTTTCTTTTTCAACGTTTGCCTTCTGGAACGCACCAGGTCCTCACGTCCCAGCTCAATCATTTTTGCTTCCCATGATTTCATTTCATTCTCATACCGAACCTTATCATCCTGAGCAAGCTGCAAGTATGGCTGAAAGAAAAGCAGGTACCAACAAGTTACACAAGGGGCTTTTTCTGGAAAACTGCCACACACAAAGCTGACTTAGAACACCTGTGCAGTGAACAGCCCAGGTATTTGCTTTCTACCCCAGCTAAAGGAAAAAAATAACCAAAAAAATCAAACTTGCAGAAAAATACAAAGCTTTAGCACTAAATTGCAGTTATCTCAGCAGCTGGCCATTCCCAAAGAATAAATTTATTCAGTACTACTACTAACAGTTAAGGCTTTTTTATTTGAGCACTAGTTTGAGCCAGCTAGACTAAGTGAGGCACAGGAATAGATATTGCTGTGGAATTATTTCAAGGTTTAGTTTAGATTTCAGTAAAGCATCCCTTCACTTCTTATTTGCTCATCTACAGGTTCACAGTTCAATACACTCAGAAAGCTGGCAGAAAATGATCCCCCAGACAACCAAAGTTAATAAATTACCCTGTGCACATCACTTGTGGATTTCTGTTACTTTTCCTTGTAAGAAGTCTTTCCATGAGCAGCAAATTCTTATGCTGATATTTATATTATATATAGAGATATTATATATATTTATAAAGATATTATAGATGATTATAAAAAAATCAAATTGTTGCATATTATTCCACCTTCTTTTCTAGGTGTTACTTAACATCCACTTTAAGGCACACCAAACTTCCATCCTATCCCACTGACTCATATTTCAACAACACTATGAATTAAATGGTCACTACTGGAATAGAGGTAATGGCAATCTTTTTTCAAGATGCATAAGATCTTGGAGTATTTTCCTCAGTATTATAATTTGAGCAAGTGAGTTCAAGATTTTGCATGAATATATAAATTTTGACTCAAGTTTTTAATTTTGATGAGATCAGAGCCTCATTCAAATCCTCTGACTTACCTGCTTTTGGGCAGCAGACATTTTTTTCCACGTATCAAACAGTTTCTTCAGCTTTGCCTAGGGGATACAGAACATGCAATACATGAGTAATTTTAGGAGTAGATTGACTTCAGAGAGCTCCAGATGAATGCTGCATGAGTGAAAGTCAAGCATAAACCAATGCAAAAAAGCCCAAAAGCTTGCTTCCCCTTATTTATCCTTTTAATCTAAATAAATAATAAACTACAGAGTTCAAATCAAGCTTCTGGGCATCATGTGAGCCACATTTACAGTGCAGGCCTCAGCTGACTGGAGAAACCTCCTTGTACATGGAAAACTGATGAACAAACCACATCCACCATCCTGACTTACTGACTAAATGTGCAGGGTAAGGAGCACAGGAGGCACTCCAGTGCTAGAATCCACCAGGGTAACTTAAACCACCCCAAAGCACAGCTCAGTGCAATCTTGTGAGTTTGCTGAGGAACTCTTGTATTTCCATGACACCAGCTGAACTACAGGAGGTACAACAAACTGCCACAACAGGAGCACACTGCCACAGCTCTTTGAAAAACACTATTTCTACATCAAAACACAGGAAAGAATAATTCTCTCCTTACAAAAGCAACAGATAAAAGTCTGTAACATTGAGGTGGAAAAAATAGCACAAATGTTCTAAGTCTGTATACCCACACAGCATTTTTTATACAGGCCATGCTAGCAGCACAGCCAGATGGCCACAGCTTAAAAAAAAAAAAAACTAAGCAATGCAGCATCCAGATAGTGAACTACTGAATAGTATCTCTGAAAATGACAGAATCTAAACTACATTTTTCTGAATACAATGGGTATATTTTAGAAAAAGAATCTTTCCTGGCTTACCACAGGTGAATTTCCCTCACTTTCTTGAAAATTTTCTGACAGGAAGATGTTAAAGGCGCTACGAGCTCTTTTAGGTTTTCCAAGCAGATTCAATTCCTTTAAAAACAACAAGAGAAGTTATTCCATCTACCAAACATGCATTTGTTCCAAAACTAAACTCAGTATTTATCTTTATATTTTATGCAAAAATCAAACACAAATTCTTTCTTTGGTGTCTTATTCTGTAAACAGAACTGTATGTCAAGATGCTCTTAGTGCTTTTCAAGACTAATGTTAAACTACAAAAAGCTAACAACTTGAGTTTTCAACAAGTTGTTGAAAAAGCATTTAAAACTGATTCTTACTTCAGCCAAGTCTTCCAGAAACCAGAGTGCTACTAAATTCAACTCTGCAAGGAAGTCATGATGACAGATTTTCTGTTATTGTTCAGTAAGGCTCCAGTTTCTGGAGTGAAACGCTGCCTGTGTGCAGAGAAGAGGGCACACACTGACCTTGGGAGGTGACAAGGTTGGGGAGAACTTGTTTCTGCCATCAGAATGCTTTGCCTACAGGGATGATGGCTAGAGAATGAAGTACAGCAAGCTAGAGATGAAATTACACTTGTTTTCTCCAGTGCTAACATTCCCACTGGAGCCAAGGTGCTGTAAGTTAACATTTGCTTAGGTATTAGATATGCCAACTGAATTCCTTGTGGTGCCATCCTCTAAAAATCATCAAGATTACAAATTCCATTTAAGAAGGGGTCTTTTAAACCAAACTTCTTGTGCTTTTGCCAATTAGGGCAATGTCACAGTTAATTCACAGAAATAAATAAGCAATACATAACCCCTTTGACCTTTGCAGACAAACCATAATACTGTACTGTTGCAGATGGTTCTGTCTCTAAGGATTATACATAAATCAGCCAAAAAGGAAAAGGGAAGATGGTGCCTATGAATATGCTAGTAAAGGACACAAAGAGATGTCACAGCAGCAGCTACACAGTGGCAGAGCCCAAAAAAGCAAGGACAAAAGGCTACTCCAAACAGCTGCTACCTTGCAGGGCCTAATGAGGTAACAGATACAAGGTGTTTGTGAAAAGCCATTTCTGGATGTCTTCCCACTTGAAGAAACTGCTGCTGGTCCCAATGTCTTTTAGTGCCTATCCTTTCTCTGGTAGCTCTGGAAATAGGGAGAAAAAAAGCATAGAGAAGCTACCTCCAAGCACAAAGATCCCTGTTAGTTCTTGCTCTTCAAGCATGGCAAAGCCACTAAACTAGCTGCTGACACCAATAATTATTTTAGTCCATGGCATTTTGGGGGGGTTTATGTATGTTTTGTGTTTTTTTCTATTCTGAGTTGCTTTTGTCTTTCTAAAACATGCTTCAACTCTGCTTTGTGTACTAGACAAACAGACTTCAGACTCCTTGAGAGAAAAGAAAGCTGAACTTCAAAATACTTACTCTTTTTGCCCTGATTGATCTTCTCCTTGCCAGCTGTTTTCTCCTTTCCTCTTTCAGAGCTGCAGCCTGGGCTGGGGTCAGTTGTGCTTTGTAAGCAGCCAGCTGCTCCCCATATCTCTTCCAGTCTGTCTTCCTTGCTTCCTCATAAACCTACAGCACAAACCACAGCAGCCTTAAACTTCAGCTAGATGCTTTCAGTCACAAGCACCTGATCATTAGACAAGCTAACACTTCTAATCTATGAATAGAAAAATTACAGACTGAAAATTTGCACCAGAAAATCAGATTTTCATGTTTGATTCCCTGTTCCACATTTCAGAGAAGGGAAAGGTACACAGAGTGAGAAGTCCAAAAGGGAGAGCACCTCAAGTCTACTAAATATCTCCTTTAGGTAATGGAATTCAGTTTCCTGACTGCTAACTGCAGTCAAGGAAGAACAATCATTACTTTGCTACAAATGGCATTTAAATCCAGCAGCAAGTCCTAGAGTTGCTTTACCTTATCCCTTGAAACTGCCACTCAGAGAAAACTTCATTACTTATGACTTAATTTGATCTATGACTCTTAAAGAAATTTACATGAAGCAAAAGAAGTTTGGTCCTTTCATCAGAAATAAGTGAGGTTTCACCTGCCATATACATGAGATCAGAACAACTTTACAAAACTTGCACTGTACATGTCAGGCAATATTGCCATTCAAAAAGGAGAAAGAATTGGTTTGCAGCCCCACAGCCACATGGAGCGAGAGCTGTGTCATTTCTCTGGCAACAGACTGAAACTCTTAAAGCCAAGGTCATGTACAAGCAGCAAAGTATCCTCCTGTATGGTGTTGGTGTATGGTGATTCTGGTGGCCAGGGGGCACAGGGATGGCCCTGTGGAGAGCCTGATGGAGCCAAGGCCAGCCAGCTCCAAGTGGCACCAGCTATTGGCCACCAGGGACAGTGGATCTTTATGCACTGGTGCTTTTTCAAGTTCCTTAGAAACAAACCAACCAACCAACCAAAAAAACCCACCAGACTGAATAAAAAAACCACAAGACACCAAACAAATAAAACTCCACCCCCTATAGAGTTCAAAGTTCTCAGGGAAACAGAACCTTACCTGTTTCTGTGATGCTGGTAACTCCTTCCATGCACTTGCCAGTTTTTTAACCAGTTCTGTGTTGCTGGCCTCTGTAGGTGAAAAGAGAAAGGCCAGAAATCAAGATCAACATTGTATCTTTAGTAAGCTCCTTCAACTTTTCCCAAGGAAAGCTGCCACAGGTATCATCTTCCTGTACAAATACATTTTTATCTTTCATAAAACTAACTCACTGTGGCAGTTAAAGGACACTGCAATATTTGGTAGATGGGGAAGAGCCACTGCTCACCTGAACACAACATGCAGTAATAAAGTGAAGCACCATTTCCAGGCAGCTATTGCTGCTCTACAACAATTTCATATTTTTTGCCTTTTGAGCTGGATACTTTTCTGTACACTGCAAGATGGTCTGAATTTGAAGGTGGGAGCAGCAAAGAAAGCAAAAGTAAAATTTCCAGTTCTATATGAGAGTGTGAACTCTTGAACTGGTGAGCTAAACAGGGCATCAAATGGTTTTCCCTACTTAAATCTTCCTCAGGATTTGCCCAATATGAACATAGCTCCTTAAACATTTTAACTTTCAACACTGTTTCCAAACCAGCTTATCTTTCTATTCTGCAGCTCTCTGGCAAGAGTCACTGCATTGCCTGTAAGTGAAGTTTTTGATAGTAAATCAAACATATTCACATGAAAACGTTTTCCTCTAAATACCTTTAGTTCTTCTTCTATATACAGTGATGCAATCCAGTACCTACAATTTTTCAGTTACTAAGCCTCAAAATAAAATCACACACAGGGCTCACAGTATCATCAGAAATGTACTTCAAATACTTCAATAGAATCCAAAAATAACTGAGAATCATAAATCATTGTTACAATGTTACATTGTTACAATGCCTACAACCTAGGCGAGGTATTTCACTGAGTGTTTTTAAAGTTACATGCTCATGTTCATTATTTTGCCTTATGAAGCACGTGCAGGCAACGAGCATGACCGTGCTGGGTTGACCCGGGGAGTGGCTCGGATAAACACACGGGCGGGGTGTTTGAGATCAGCACTTCAGCTCGTTCCCAAAGCTCGGGTTTGCAAAGGAACAGCAACTTTGGGGACGAGCTAAAGCTGCTCGGGCTGCTCCGGCTCACCCGCTCGGGGGCGGCGGTAGCGGAGCCCCGGCTCCCACCAGCGCCAAGCGCGGGCCCGCCGCCCCTCCATTCTCGTACCTGGGTTCTTTTCCTTGAATGCCGGCCGGTTGTCCATCACGAAACGAAAATAGGCGGTGAGGGGCCGCTTCGGGCGCGGATTCGAGCTGGTCCCCCGTGACAGGCAGCGCTCCGCCGCGCCACCGGGCCGGCACAGGACGGCAGCGTCGAGGAGGGTCCCGGTGCCCCGCTCTCGCAGCGCCGCTCCCGCCCCGCAGCGGAGGAGCCGCCGCCCGCCCGCGGCCGCGACCAGGCCCAGGCCCAGGCCCACGGTGCGGCCCAGCAAGGCCGCTGCCGCCGCCATGCCGGCCCGCCGCGCATGCGCGCCAGCGCGCGGCACCCTGGGACGGCGGCGTCAGGGGCGGCCCTCACGCGGTGACAGCGGCGCGGGGTGACACTGGCACAAGGTGACACCGGCACAAGGTCACCGCTCCACGAGGTGAGCCTCGCCACAAGGTGACCCCGCGGCCCCGAAGGTTCTGCACCGCAGGCGCGTTCGCTGTGGGCGCCCTCAGGAGCAGGTACAGCAGAACGGTAACGGAGATCAGAAACAAACTGGGAACCAAGTAACTCGGTCTGTTCATGACTGTGGCCAAAACAAACCCCACTGGTTCCTTCGCTATGGCGAGCTGCTGTGTCTCAAACAGCAGCAGCCTCTGCTCCGACAAGTTTGTTTCTTTTTTCCCCTTCCTTTTCCCATCGTGGTAAACAGCACAGAATAAAGTAAACTTCCCAGCCTTGGAAACAGAATTTGTATCAAAAGCATTAACCGAGGAGTGGAAGTGTTTCCCTCCACAGATTGAACCCAGACACTTCATAGCATCACTAAAGTTTTCAAGAATGTATTTATCATTTCATTCTGATAATTTCAGAAGCAGAAAGGCTGAACTGCTAGGAGCAGCATAAGAATCTAAGACTTAGCTTCACACCTCTAAACGAGCATGATGATAACACAAATCCCTTTTTTAATATTTACATATGGTTAATATGTCCTACACAGGTGTTGGTTGGTTTTCAGTCCTCCTGCTGGCTTCACACTGTGGTGGAAAGTCACTGATGCACGGCACAAAGCAGAAACATTACCAGGTAAAGCATAAATGTTTTCAAACCATCCCTAACACAAACTGATAAACAAACCAAGTCAAACTTCTGATTTCACACAGTTCTATACAGATAGCCCAAAAATTTAAATAACTTCTAATACAAAAAGATTGCTATTTTATCTAGAAAAAAATAAAAACTGAACACAATCTGATGGTCAGTTTTCTACAATCATTTAAACAGGAAGTATAAATGAGATCTTTGCCTTCCTAGCTACATTGCCCTAGTTCAAATATAATGAAGCACTCAGTAACAAAACCAAATCCATTCATTCAGCTTGCAAAATGCAGCGAACAGGGATATTTTAAGATTATTTAAACCAATCTCAATCAAGCTGCTGTTTCATATGCCACCATTACATCACAGATAAAACTGGCCAAAAATGACATTTTCCCATATGTGACCAACCTAAGGTGAGTAAATCAGGAAACACAAAGTTAATATCCCACTGGCAGGAATAAAAGCTCCTACTGTGCACGCTTACCACCCATACCCCACATTCCAGTTTGATGCATATTCCATGAAAAACAATAAAAAACTCCAAATCAAATATATCTGTCATGCTAAAAATGATGACAAATTTCCCAACTGAAAGTAATTTTTCTTTCATGTGCAAGATACAGAGAAAAACATTTTGTCATCTTTTTTTATTTTCAAGTAACCAAGAAGAATGAAAGGTAGGAAATCAATTGTTTTTCTGCTTTTGATCTATGTTTTAAGAACAGATTACCCCTCTCAGCACTATTGGTTTTCCACATGCATAGTCTGAAGCAACTGAAGTGCAAGTTAATGGAAAAGTTACTTTCAAGAGTGAGGAGACAAGTGTGAGTTTACTGTAACATTCTGATATTGCAAATACACCACCCTTAACAGACCCTTGTGATTATCTCCTCCATAGGTGAATATTGGTGTGGTATGGCATGAACCTATTTGAAATCTTTCCAACCATGGGCTAAATCCACTAGGCTAGAACCAGCATCAAAATTAACTCAGAGCCCACTTCTAATTGGTACATGATGCCTACAAGACATTGGACATTCTGCCTACAAGACACACAAACACTACTGGCAGTTCTGTTAGAATGGTGCAACAAGTACTTTAAGGATATGCATGAGTTAAGATTTAAAAAACACATAGCCAAGGAAAGTAGAAAATGTATTTTATTTATATGGAAAAGGCTACATCTGGATTTGTAAAAGGTCTGTGATAGTATCATGTTGCCCACACGTCACAAATCAGTTGTGAATAGCAACAAAATAGTTACATATCTTTCTACATACCAGTGCAATTAGTTCACATTGCAATAAAATTAAGTCAAGTATGCAACAGAATCAAAACCAAGTGTTTCTCCATAATCAGCATACAAAGATTTACAGTGCAAAGATCATTGCAGGTTTTAACAAGTCTGCAGTCAGTCTTCAGAATATTTAATGGGTGAGATACTCCAATTATTTTCACTATTAGCAGTTGTATCTTGTCAATACTGTGCACAAGCAAGTCTAAACTGAAATGACTTACATTGTAAATAAAATAGTCTATACAGTAAAAAAATACAAATTATATAAGAGAGCTAACAAAAAGAAACTTGAACACACTTATGAAACAGACAACATACTTCAATGACACACATACAGTATTCATCACATGAAAACAGCTACTTTTTCCAGCAAAAATAATTTCATTGATTTACAACTGAATTATAGATCTTGTAGTCTGAAGATGCAGGTGTCCAACTCTTAAAAACTATAATAAATGTCTTCTGCAAAGCATACAAAGAGGATAAATATTCTTACCAAAGTCAAAAGGTTATTTTTGGAAGTTTGTTCTCTCTTGCTCCAGAAACACACTTACTTGGGTGAAAAAAAATTCAAGGAGTGTCACATTGAAACCATAAACTGTGCTCCATTTCCTTCTAATTTTGAAAAAAACCTAGAATTTACAGTACTCTGTGGTATATGAAAATGTCTTCAAAAGTTTACATTGCATATTTCTGAGTCCATTCTCTTGCATGTCTGTTGTATCTGTACGTGCAGAAAGAAGGCATCACAGTGAAGAGCTGTTAGTGATACACTGACAATGGCCATGTAAACTTAATACAGCTGGTACTGAGCTTTGTACCTCTGAGCAGTCAAAGAACACCAAAACAGTCTAAAAGCCACAAAGCACACACCCACTGCACATTCAGTTTCTAAAGTTATGCACCACAGCTGTCAGACTCAAACCCAACTTCACAGGTTTGCATTAAATTGTGCGTCCTTCATTTGTATTTCATAACTGGTTCCCTTATTTGCACCTTCACAGCAACTGGATGTCAATTACTCCTAAAGGCATATGCTATTAAGAGTCTGACAAAGTTTACACATTTTAGTTCCACAAAATTCAGTATAATTAACTGGGATTTTATTCTCCGTTCTGCACTGCCAGCTGCATTTCAGAACTTGAAAAGAAAGTTTTCTGAAAAACATTTTTTGCTAGGTTTTAAGTCTTGGGTCTTTTCCCAAGCTGATTATTTTATAATTCCATAATCCCAAGGGTAAATGTCCTTAGAGAGTTGATAGCTTCCACTCTGGTCTTTACATTTGCTACATTCTACTCTTCAGACTGGATTCACTTTCTTGAGTCAACCAGAGAAAAATACTGACAAGTTTTTAACTCTTAAGATCAGTATAGCAACCCATTTAAAAACTGGTTTTCTTCTAAAGAATATGCTACCATATAAATCTTTGGATTTTAACTTATAATAAAATACTCAGAAAATAAATAACTAACTTAATAAATAAATAACTTAATTATTTAAAAATAAATTTATTTAAAAATAAATAATTAACTTAAAATAAAATACTCACATCTTTCATTTTCTAAATCCAAGGTAAAAAAACTTTAATAGGTGATCATTTTAAGAAGATAAAGCTACAGTCAAGACCACATATTTTCTCACTTTGCCTAGCAATGATTAAATTTTGAGATTTGTAGACAGAAAACCATCCCTTATTTTCAGTTCCTTCACAAACAGGAGGCACAACAGAAATCACCAATAAGCAGGTGGAAAAAAAGTTGAGCCAGAAATGGGGAGAAGCTGATGCACAACCTCCTCAACCTGAACACTATCTACCCTGCAGAATGAGCTACAGCAGTCAGGCCCTTCAGAAGTTACATTATTTGTCTATCCAGACATTGAACTGAGAGAAAAAGGCCATTTTAATCATTCTTAGTCTGGGCAGAGAAATACTAGAGCACAGATGTCCATGCAACTTCTGCATCACTCCTTTGCTGTCACCTGCTCAAGGTAAAAGCAATTCTCAGATCTGCCTGAATCTGTGACTCTGCATGCACTGCAGCAAGTCTGCAATGGCTCAGCACTGGAAAACAGGTACCAAATAACTCAAGTCAGTTAAACAGAAGCTCAAAAATTCTTCTGTACAGGTTTTACAGCCAGAGGATTGCAGTAATGACAACTCATATTTGGGAAAGTAATTTTTCATGCAATAAATCTGTTACACAAAATCATGAAGGTTTTATGTAATTAAGTAAAAGAAAAATTAGTTGCTAACAGCTGTGTATGCCTACAGTTTTCTACTTGCCATGGCTATTCCCAATATTTAAAGAGCTAATCCTGTAGAAATCTAGGAAGAGAGTACTGCTAAAGTTAATACTGAAGGTGCACAGCAGCCAGCCATCTGCAAGTACCACACACACAGTTATGTATGTTATACTCACTTTTCCTTGTCTGACTTGTAGATCTGTGCAATATCTGGTACTAAAGGATCATCTGGATTAGGATCACAAAGTAAGGAGCATATGGACAATAAAACTAAATAAAAGAGACACTAGATTAAAAAAGTTAGTTTGCTTTATTTCTACAATTCTTTAACATATTCCAGTATACTGAAGGAGGTGGTAGGAGGGCATAGGAAAAGAATGCATAGTATCAAGCTGTCATTTAACAGCTCTGTCCAGAAATGTTTATACAGCATCATTTTTCTAGGGCTTAAGTAAACACCTGGTACAAGCCCAGGGAATTTGCAGCCATGAACCTGCACCTTTTGTAATGATCTCTCTCCCACATCCTAGCTTAGGAACATTACCCAGCTACAGACTACAGTTACATGTAGATACTGCTCAAACTAAGCTTTCCACCTGCAGCTAACTAATTATTAATCTTACATTGCCATGCAGTACTCTGTTTGTGCATATCCTTTCCCACTTCTGTGCTGACAGTTATTCTCTCAGTCATAAGAACACTTTACCTAAGTGGGACTTCCATTTTGGGAAATACTTGATCAGCATTAAATACAGGCATTCACTTATAATTTCATATAATTTCCTGGTATTGAACCAAGGAGGTTTGAGTTTTTTGCCTGACGTTTTCAGGCCATACTTTTCAGGCAATTTTTGTTTTTATAGTCAGAACTAATATGCATACAAGAGTGCACAGTTAAATAATTCTAAATACATTGTGAAAGGGAACTTCATGCTGCCATAAGAATCAACTGTAGAATACCTTTTTTGCTCCCTGCTTCATCTTGTTACCCAAGAGCCCACACCTGTTTTCAGGAGTAGAAAGTTCAGCCACTTCAATACTGACTTATTTTAAGTGCCAGTAGTAGCAGAAAATCATGTTAGACTACATGGTCACACAGATGGTCAGAGGTGCTATAATATGCTGTAAACTTTTGATTCAGTCAAACAAAGACTAGAAAGGAGAAACTTCCATGAGTCACTGAGCTAATTTCCAGTTTATGAAATAAATAATATCTGAACATGAGACCTGCTCCACTTTATTACCAAAGAAGTGCTCAGCAAGAAAAGAGATAGGAAAATGCTGAAGATCTAAAAATTTTACAGGTTTTCAGTTGTAGATGCCAGCTGTTAAACCTAAGTGCCAATTTTCATTTGCTTAATAACTAGAAGCAAGATAATTTTTGCATAGCTATAAAACAACTAATTTATGTGGAAAAAAATGATACCTATTACACATAAGAGTAATTAATGTCTTCAGCAATCAGCTGAGGAAACAGAATATTAGACTTAGATTATATATGGCTTGTGAGGTTACTGCACAGGCCTGTAAACAAGAGAAGCTGTTTTTCCAAGGTACAGCAACTGGACCTGCACAGGGCAATCTCCATTGGACAAAGCCCCACAGTTTGTTCTGTGCCTGTACACCCAGTGCAGTGACACTGGCACCCAGCTCAGAGAGCTCCCAAGCACAGGAGATGTGATCTGGCTTCTTGACCTTTTCAGTCACATGAGGGATTTCTGTAATGTGACTAAGTGTGCCTTAGCAATGTGAAGATGGGTGAGAAGAAATAACAGCACCCACATTTTAAGCAGCTTTTTAAGTGACACAAAATGCCTGCAGCAAAAGAACTGCTAAACCGTTAACTCAGTGTTCCAGAAATCTACAGGGTGCAAGTTTTGAGAAAGCTTAACTACAGGAGACAATATTTTAATAAAACTTTTACTGATGACTGTGAAAGGAGCTGCATTTTGAAATATTCATCTTACAAAGGAATGCAAACCAGAACAAATGATCTCATTTTTAAAGAAAATGTAATTAAGACCTTAGTCCACACAAGGATGCTCAGGCAGCCTGAAGAGTCATCAACAGGCAATCGTGTAAGCTCACACAACCTCAGTATCAGGGTTTCACATTTACTCCCAAGTTGTGATTTTCAAGCCCTGCTCATCAGTTTCTCCTCTGTTCAGCATGCACAGTCAGCTGTCACATTTCAGGCTAAATGTACATTATTATCTTACCCAACTTGGTTTAGAATATTTCTTTGTGCATGCATTTTTTTTGCAATGAACTCCCAATAAACTGCACAAGATCTTGGATCATAACCAGAACTCCAATGGAATTTGCCTCTTCTGAAACATGCAGGATAAGTTTGTTCCCACTGTTTACCTTTAAGACAGTGCAATAATACACAAAAAAGTGCCATGGCAGTGTATGCAGCTTCACACATGCATTATCAAATCAGTGAGTTTACCTTTAGAAACAGTCAGAGCTGGTGACCATTGTGATCTCAAGATATCAAGACAAATACTCCCATTACTGTTTATGTTTGGGTGATATATTTTTGTTGTAAAAGCAATCTGTAATAAAAAATAAATAAAAACCAAATAATATCAGATTAGGGTTATTACATTTGGAATCCTTAACATCATCCCTTCCTTTCTCGTTGTATCAGATCTGCCAACACAATTTTTTTACAGTCTTATCTGCATCCATGAAGAACATGTACACTATGGCTCACCTTTCTGGTTTTACTTCCAAAATTAAGCCTTTGACCAAAAAGGACTTAAGTCCTTAAAAGAAAGGACTTACCTTTGGTGGTTTGAAAGGATAGTCTGTTGGAAAGTGTACTGTGAGAAAAAATACTCCCCCTTGATATGCACTATCAGGCTGAGGAAAAAACAAAACAGATAAAACAGATTAATATATTTCAGCTGGTTTGGAGCTTCCCTTCTCCTAAAGAAAATCCATTTTTCCCCAGTACATAGCCCACTATGGGCCATGAACTGGGGAGGCACAGAGGGAACTGAACCCTCCCAAGTGTGGCTCCAACTGCAGCAGCACAGCAGTTACTGAGCACTGCCCTTGTGGGGAGAAAAGAGAGGGAGTCAATGGCTTTGCTGCACTGAAGGGAGCACAGAAACCACAGCAGGTCCTCCAAACCCTGTCCCTGTGCAGGACCCCAGCTGCCCTGATCTTCCTCCTTTCTTCAGCTACAAACACACTTACCCTAACAAATGGTTTCTCTTTGCTGATGCAAAGAGTGGGATTTTCCAATAGAATTCAGTTCATCGTGATGATATCAGGGAGTTTTAAAACACACAACATCTTTGTGACCTGCACAAATCTGTGCACATGCATTTTGTTAGACAACATGTGCACGGGTTTACATCCAGGTTGTACACTATCAAATAAAATAAGCTCCATCTAAAAGCCCTCTGCAACTCCACTCTTGTTTGCAGTTACCAAATTTAATAGTAGAATTCACCCACTCTTCCTCCTTTCAGATGGATGAATCTTCCAGGTTGATCATCTATGAAAAGCAAGCTCTTTGTTTTGTAGCCCATATCACCAACTCAGACACCACAGCTGACTAATTAAACACCTCTAACTCCATGAAGAGCAGGGATTTTTGAGGAATTACAGAAAGCAACTGGTACCAGACTAATAAGAACAACAGTGTCACCCTAAAGTTTTAACTATTCACAGCCCAGCTGAAAGTGGCTGCTGTGTTCACAGAAACCCAAATGAATCCTTCTGTAGCAAAAAGAGAAGCAAGGTCTTACATTTTGAGGGGCATGATTCTTATACTTACAGGTCCCATAATAGTTGCTTGCCAGTGAAACACTGAAAGGCAAAAAAAGACACAACAATTAGAGATTTTCTGAGCCTTTCCAGAACTGAAATGTACTGGATGTTCTAGGAAGAGCTTACAGTCATCTCCAACAGGGCCAGCAGAACAGTGGGCTGGGGGATCTCGCTGCAGATCACTTAGCTCCTGCAAGAAACACAGAAATATTGCAAAGACATGAAAATCCATACCACTTGGCAGCATCCCTTCAAAAGCGGGAACACAAACCAATTTTATTAAATCCATGGGCATTTTTTGTGGTGTTTTGATAAAACAGTCAACACTTGAAATGTTCATTGAAACTGAAAAAGCTTTTTTGCCAGACAGCCTGCAGCTAACACTGTGCTAGAAATTAATATCTGAAAGAATTTAAGAGTTGCAACCAAGTTCACAGGAAGTTCAATATACTTGAAGGAGACAAAATAAAGAAGAAAGGTTTCTTGATTAGTCTGTAAACTCACAGTTTAATTTAGTTAGGTGCTAATCTGATCATTCCCTTACCTTTTGATTTTATAAAAGTTTCTGTATTGTTCTAGTCTGCGGACATCAGCTGAGCTAAACTGGCTCATAAAATGTTTGCAGCTTGCCTGGAGATGATGTATGAACATAATATAAAAGGTCCTAACTAAAGTGGAAACTAAAGAAAAAAATATTAGCGCTACACCTTATTTACCTTGATTCAATTCCCTGCATGCTTGTTTTTTTTTTTTTTTTTTTTTTAATGACTAATTAAAAACTCCCAAGTTGAAACTTAAGCACTCAGAGGAGCTTTTGGTGGTCAACTGATTTATTTCTCTTGCTGGAGTCCACACAGTCCCAAATAATTTAAAATTATGTGATTTCACAAAGCCAGCGCTGTTTTTCATCTGATTTATCATCACTATTTCAAACAAGACAGGCAGTAATGTTAGTTCATCTTCCTCATTTAATTCAATGTATTCCCTTTTGATGTCTGAACTATCACTGTACTAAGGAAAGCTTTTTCCAGTTCTAGGCTGATAGAAACTGTGCTGTAGGAACTTTAATGACTACATGCAAGTACCTCCTTTGAAATAAGTTCAAGGGTGTGTGTTTGTAAGTAACTCAATTCCTTACTGAAAACATGCCCATTTAAGTCAATAGACATAAGCAGGTCTGTGAGTTTACCTTAAGGAGTAACACCAGAAATGTTTCTACTCAAAATAAATCAGTCAAGGCAACTACTTACAAAACCAAGGTTTAAATAAGAGCTAAGTTTAAGTCTAGTGTAGAATCGGTGTACTTAGTGTGATCATATAATCATATGATCATATAATTTGAAGGGTTAAAAATCTGCACTTCTCAACTGTTGTGATGTATTTTTCCATTTATGACATCCAATAAATATTTCAAGTCAATTTACCATGGAGCTGACACCTAAATTCAGCCAGACTTACAGCTCTACTCTTGGCCTTGAAATCAAGGAAAAGCACTGCACCATTTCTTACTACTGCTCTCAAGTCACTCCTCACAATCTGGTGATTTCAAGCAAGACAGACACTTTTTCCTATACTAAAATAGCTGACATTACTGCACTTTAACTTTATTCTGTTGGTGACACTGAATGCTAATCCAGAAAGGACACTCTGGGCTAGACTTTAACTAATAAAAGCACTTTAGAAATGCAGTTCCTATTTTAATCAGAGGATTCAAATTTCGTTAAGGAGTGATTCAGAGAACCAGCTATTTATGCAAAGGCACTGCCAGTACACACAGGGAGTCAACAAATCTCAAATTTCCAGCAGTCCCCAAACATGACCAGCAGCAGAGCTCTTACAGGCACCGTCTTCTCCAACTTGCAACTCAAGATCTAACCTAGCAAAAGAAGATTAAGTCTTGTACACACACTAAAACAACCCAACCAAAACCAAACAGCTGCACTACAGAGAACTCACACTAGCAATCGTGCATTTTGCAACAGTCTTTATTGACGACTAAATTCAAGGCAGTAACTGGAAAAATACATTGCATATATATACTTCAGAGACTTTCTGAAAAGTTTAAGCTAACATTCCATATGCATCTAGGAACCACCAGGCAACCACTCAGAGTCACAGGTCTGTAACAATGCTTTTGTTGCTACATGTGTTCACCAAGATCTTTACATACCCCCAAACCACACAAATTTGCTTTCTTTCAGATCTACACATGTACTTAAGAATTAACAGAACTGGGGAATGCTCCTTGGGTATACACTTCAATTTGTTCAGGCTAAAAAGGCACTGACATCTGTTCATGATTAGAAAAAAACCCAGCAAATATTTTTCATCAGACATTGATGAGACCCACAACTATAAACTCTTGTAATTAATATTTCCTAACAACAATGAGGAAAAGGTTCTCTTCAAACAATTTCAGCAAATGAGAGCAATGTTCACAAATATATTCTGAGAGCTTCTGCACTTACAAAACATAAAGCCAGATCAAACCTCAAAATCAGCAGAGCAAATTCAAGCTGCATTTAGCATCCATATGTGAAGCTAGTGTGGTTCAAAAATACAAGTGGTAACATGATCCAACAGTATGAACAGTTTGAATCTTTATATACAGAAATTCAGATCAAGCTGTGATAAAAAGGAAGAACTATTCAGATTTACATTGTTGATTATGCTGTTTAAGCTTTAGGTTCAAAGCAAAATTATCTGGAGAGCTCTAAGATTTAGGTTCAAGCTTTTCTACACCTTTAGAAATGGGGCAAGGAGATACTCAGATGTCCCTGAGTCAGACTGACCTGCCAGGGCCCAGAATTGAACACTGCAGAACAGAAATGAAGATCCTCTAAATACATGTAAAAACATTTCTTCATGACTGCAAATATTCATGAAAGAATGAGAATACAAGAATTCTTTATACAAAACACAGATGCTCTTTAGAAGAAGGCCAAACCTTGGCTTTGTTAAGGGACAAGGCTGAAGATTCTCAAAGTTTAACATGCTGAAGCCTCATCAAGAAGCACAAGCATGTGAGGCACTACAGTCAACACCAGAGATTGCCCTGTAGTTTAAAGTTAATTTTAAGTTAAGCAGCTTTGTCCAAGCTTTATGGATTATTACCATGAGGCTGCATGAGACAGGTCTGGTCACTTCAAGGGTCTGCATGAATACTTTTAGTCACTGGTACAGAAAGTACAAGATGCACATATGCTGACAAACAGGATCTATAGCTCAAAGCAGATTCATTTCAAAAGACAAAGTCACCACTATAAAATACAGTGTACACTGGTGCAACATCTTTCATGAGAATACACAAACCCACAATTCTGTCTGCAAGAGATGCATCAGAAGGATGAGTTATTTCAAACACTGGGCAATGTGACAGCATAAAAGCACCTCTCAAGAGCTCCAACACATGCCAGCATAAATGTGCACAGAGAAAAATACCTCAGCTGGGGACAGTGTAGGAATAAATCCTCTAATCCTCTCATAAAAAGCATTTCAGGGTAGAATAGAATACTAATGGTTAACATACTCCTGGAGCCTCCAAATTATCTTCCCTAGCAACTACACTCCTGAACAGCCCTGCAGACAGCATGAAGGAAAAATTCAAGTTTAACAGCTGTAAAAAACAGGCTGTGGTAAGCTATAAACATTGGAGACATTTCTGAATGTGCAGACTAATGCCCATGGTCAATGAATAATACAGGATGTATTTCATAAAAGTATGAAGTTGAAGACTGCAAGGCCAATTTAACACTTACATGCTTGATTAGCATCCAGGCTTTTCTCCCCAAAAGCTATTGGAACAACATTGTAAAAGAGATTTTGGTGATAAGGAAATGAATGTTCTCAGCATAGAAGTCCTAAACATGTCTTTTTTCAGTTTAAAAAAATTGAGAAAAAAACGCTGCAGATTATCTGAAGACGAAAATAAACTGCAGACAGCATCACTAAAAGCTATTTTCATTCTCCATACACCACAAAACCACAACCTTTCTCCACACTATTATTTAAAATATAGATTTATATTTGTCAGTTGTGTTAATTTCTTGCACAAAATGCACTGTAGACCACAGATTTATTTCCTACCAATTCTGTGCATACATTGCTGCTTGGAACCATTTGTCATAAAACTCCACAGTGATCATACTTAAGACTAGTTAAAGAATTCTCTGGTTCTTCACAAATTTGGTAAATATAAAGCACATATTTATAATAAGATTTATTGCTATAATGGTTAGTCAGTAATAAATATTCTATTTCCATAAATTGTTCTAATGCAAAAAAAAAATTGCTAAAATATGTAGTATCTCAGCTGAGGCCTTGAAAGTAAATGCAACATTTTATGTTAGAGCCAAAAAAGTTTCCTTGTTATGTCAATAACCATCTAAAGGCTGCAGGTTTAAAGTCAAACTCTAAACCACAAATATCAACAATTTTTACTTGAGTCAATTTACAGTAATAAAGTTATTTTCAACATAACTTTAAGTTAGTATGTCCTGTTAGCCCATGCATATATGAAACACATCCTGAGCCACAGAGACATATTTCATTGTTCATTGAAACCATTCCATGTCTGAATGCTTCCATTCCTACTGAGTTGGAGGAGAAAACCAACCAAGCATTTATGTATCAATAAGATAAGAACAGCAGCTATTCTTAAAGCAGTGTTCAAATCTATCTCCTCCTTCTTGGGTTCAAAATGTCTTCTAAAATCTGTTGAAGTGGTGAACAAAAGTATGTACAAGACAGCTGAGCATTAACAAGCACTTCAACCTCCCACTAACACTGGGGGAGCACCCAGGTACAGGACTTGTGATTAAAACAGGTACAGGACTTATGATTAAAACAATCTCAGCTGCAATATAGAACTACCAGGATGGCAAACTCTGCAAATTAGATATGTGAACAAAGAATTTGGAACAGGAACCCCAGGAAAATGGTTCTGCCTAAGACAGATGGGGAGAACTGAGACCTACAGAACCTGACAGCCTGAATTACTTTCCACCTTTCACAAAAGGCATGGTATCTCACTTTTCCAGAGGTGGCAAGGATAAAGGCTTCTTTGCACAATATTTCTTCTCACCTAAAAAACCTACACTATTTATTTCGCTTTGATCATTTGCAACATCTGGAAGTCACGCTGCCCACAAAGATGTGTTGCTCTTTCACTGCCCCAAGGAACATCACAGACAGAGTAACTGAACTTTTCTGACAATGCAGAAACTCAGTGCCTCTCTCCTACAATGGCAAACAAAGCACTCACAAGGCAAACACACACAGGTTCCTCAGCTTGTGATGAGTAAGAATCCTCCAGCCTCAAACTCTCTGAGGAACTGTGAGTTTGTCATGGACACTGCTGGCAGCTGGCTGCATGTCCTCCCTGTTCCTCCACCTGCAGCACCAGGATCAGATACCTCCATGTGCAGTGAGCAGCTTCTTCACTGCTTACTCAGCTGCCATTTTTAAGAAAGCTCCCAAGCACAGTCTGTTTTTCTGTGACTGGGGTACAGTCTTGGAATTCCTCATGCTGTCCTCCTTTGAGGAGCCCCTCAAAAACAGTCAGCCAAAGGCAGGATGCAATGACACAGATCCCAGGGGCAATATAACTTAGAAATCAGAGTCCCAACCAGGATGACAAAAAATATGCATACTGACAGGTTGACATATTATAGCTTTGCTGTCTTTGGAGGAGGTGTCACACTGAATGATCAAATTATCAAAATTACTGTGAACAAACACTCAAACTTGACACCAAAATCCCTTAGCTTTGTTTAAGCACAATTCTGAAGCACCCTAAACCCACAGAAGTTTAACTCCAGACAGTATGTCTAGACTGATGAGCTCCCAAGCAATGCCACTGTGTTTGCTGACAGTGTTTTGTTGTCCAAAGAATTCCTCTAGGCACTCTGAAACCACAGCACTTCCTCTGCTTCAGATCTTATCCCTTCCTATCCTTCAGATACAACACAAATATCAACCTTTACAGCCAGTCTGAAACACCAGGAAATTAATCAAGATAAACATACCAACATACAAATACATTTCATCTACCATTAAACTTCCATCTCCATGATTTTTGGGGAAAACTTTATGTATTACATCAAAACAGTTTATCTTTTCAAACTTCTCTGCTTCATTTTAACTTTCCATTTGAAACAAACTTATTTCCTTGCCATTCCCTTTCCTCTTCTACTTCTTCAGAGACAGACTGCTAGCCAAATCCCTCTAGCAGAATTTTTTCTTCTCCTGGAAAGGCAGAAGAGAATGATGAGGGTAGTTAATGGAAAAAAAAAGAAAACCAGCAGTAGTCATTTCTGCAGCAAACTAGAAGCAAGGGGTAACTAGTTCTGAATTTAATCTCAACTCTTCTTGGAGGTCCTTACCCAATATCTCTTCATGCTTCAGGTGGAAGTTATTGTAAAACCAGGAAATCTCATAGCACCTCGCAGTTAGCAGGTTGGAAAGCATCACTTTTTTTTGAATGAGTAGAAACACAATTTAATAAGGCTAACAGAATGAAAGATACTTAGATAAAAAGTCTAACCATAATTTCACATCTATCAGAAGTTCTTAAATGCCACATTAAAGAGAATTGTGGCTTTCCAGTATGTATGAACGTCTCTAAAGCAGAAAGAAAGTTATGCAGGGAACATGATAAAAGTATGAAGGCTAATTCTATTCTAGCAGGACTTATTTGGAAAGCCCCAAACCGTCATTACATCTCAAAAACACTAGATTACCCGACTCTCCCCTTTGTCTGTTTATCTTAGCAGAAAGAAGCTGGACAAGAACTGGAAAGAGATGGTATTCAGAACAATCCTTTTCTTGAAACTAGGGTAAAAAGATGTTCAAGAAGATGTGCGAAATTAAAGTGGCAACAAGAGGCAAACCATTTGTATAATATGTAGAAGCAAGACAAAGTTATTGCTAAAGTAAACCACTGTAGTAATTTGATATATTGGTCGAATGGAACATTCATGACAAACATGTGATATGAAGGAACAAAATTGTCCTGTAATTGCACTGTGTGTAAAGGTATAAGCCTTGCAGTATGAGACCGGTAAGCAGTATGCACTTTCTGGTAGAAATCCATCCAAAGTTGGTATCTACCGTAGGGTATCCCAAATCTGCCCACTGTGGGGTTAATCGGTCACTACAGAATCCTATTTCTGCAATACCAATGGCTTCCGATAGCAAAAGGGAATCCTGCACGGGAAATAATCGCACCGTCACGTAACCAGGATAGCTCCGATGCCGCCCTAAACATGGCACAGCAACAGCAGCCAAGCACGGCGGATTCTGTTCCGCGGCCAAAGCCCGAACCTCCGCTGCCCTCCGGTGCGACAGCCGGTCCGTTCGGTACAGCGACCAGCTCAGCCTCGCCAAACAAAAGGAAACCGGCAATTCACAACTCGGACCAGGCCATTTACACACATCAGCCCCAAACACCACAACTGGGATACGCTCAAAGGTCACACCAAGAACTATGCTGACAACACTTCTCAATCCTGCCCCGAGCACGGCGCGGAGCAGCCGAGCACAAGGGCAGAGACCGATGCTGTCCCTGCGCCCTGCTGAAGGCTCCCCACAGCACCGCAGCTTTCCCCGCTCCCGCACCGCCCGCAGCACCGCGGCTGCTCCGCTGAACGCCCTAAAGCACCGACTGGGGCTGCGGGGCCTTCCAGGAGGCAGAGTCCCGAACCCGTGGGGCGGCCGGCGAGAGGAGAGCCCCCCTTGCCCGTCCCACACCCACTCTGCTTCCCCGGTTGCCGGCGAGGTAAGGACGAGTCCTGGCAGAGAAAGCGCGCGGCAGCGGCTGCCGCGACACCGCGGCTGAGCCCGCTCCGGCCGCCGCCTCAACCCCGGCAACAAGGGGACAGCCCCAGCCTCTACCCGAGAGCAGGGGGACCTTTCCGCCCCCTCCCACGGCTCGGCCCCACTCACTTTTTGTATCCGCTTCAGCGCCATGGGAACGCGCGGCGGAAGCGCGAAGCAGGCGGCGGGAGCGCGGGGCGGGAGCGCGGCCGGGGCGGGGCGGGCGGCGGGAACGCGCGCCGTGGAAGCGGGAGGGGCGGGGGCGCAATGGCCGTGCCCTTTGTGTCCTCCTGCGCATGCGGAGCCGCCGCCGCGCGCGGGGCTCGCCGGGAAGCGTAGTCCGCGCGGCTGCGGAAGTCTCGGCCGGGCCGGGCCCCTCAGGGTGTGCGGGACCGAGTGAGGAACTGCGAGTGTCAGTGTCTAGTGAACACGGGGCTGAGGAAGAGGAAAGTGACCGTGTGAAGCTTCAGAACTGCATACAGGAAAAGGTGTGTCACATTCATGATGGTGTGTGAGAGAAGCAGTAGGCGTGGGGGTTGAAAAGTCTGTTGAACAGGTTATAGAATCATTAAAGTTGAAAGAGACCTCTAAGATCGAGTCAGTGCAGAAAAATCATGCAGAGTCCACTGGGGCACACACACAGGGTTTTCTGTGTCAAGGTTTGGAGGAGACAGCCCCTTTTTTCCTGAAGTCCTGGCTCCACCTCTTCCTTTCCCCATGGGCTGAGATACTAGGAAGGTACAGCTTTCCCGAACAGCCTAGCACATATTCCCCCCTCGTAAATGTAATTTTCCCCCAAAGTTCAGAAACTCAAGCTTGTGCCTATCCATTTGTTTCAGAGTCAGTCTGTCGGGTTCTGTAACAGACCTGTGGCTTGAAGTTGGTAGAGACATTAAGATGCGTTTCAGATACATTAACACCCATCCCCTCACCCATGGAAGCGTTTTGTAAAGACATAAGCACACATCTTTCCTATCAGGTCCAACCATAAATGAGCTCCCAGAGTAACGAGTCCTTAATCAGGTATAGAACTTGGATAATACTTTTTATTGTATAGTAATTCTTATATCAATACTCAAGTTTATGAGGTTCGAGGCGGCTGTCACTCGGTGGATATCACTTTTCAGCTTCATTTTTCCACAACTACGCAGGAGAGGGCTCATACAGCCATCTGCCCTGAGCTCTGATTTTGCAGAGCTGTTGGGCACTGACAGAAGCAAGAAAAGCCAGTGTCTGCACAGCAGCGCCCAACACCCGTTTTACAGCTGCAGAGGCCTCCCTGAGAGCCCTGTGCCTGGCGTCAGGCCGGTGACAGCGCTGATCCGCTCCTCCCTCCTCCAGCGCCGTCCCGCACATCCCGTCACCTCCA